TTCCACCGCCCGTTGAACGTCTCAATTAATTTAGCTGAATATATAGTAAAGGCTTGTTGTATTCTGCATAATTTTATACGACTATAATCGAATACGAATTATAATCACACGTTATAACATGTATTCGCAGAGGAAGACGAGGATGAAAATATTAGACTGTATAATCCAAGTGGTGGTCGCCGCAACCTAGGAAGAGTCACAATTCGTAACGCTTTTGTCGACTATTTTGTATCGCCCGAAGAAGAATTCCCGTGGAATAATTAAAATAATAAAATACGCATAAATAATATAATAACATGCCTGCTGCACTTTTCTCTGACCTAGTTTTATTATTTAAATTTGGTATAAACAATTCGATAAATTCATTCCAGCTTTTCTTTTTTATGGTCCAGTTGCTATAACCATCGGTCCTCGAATCCCACACAGCAGGACGCATTTGAACTTCAATGATAAATTGTTCTGTGTCGAATTCGCTCATTGTGCAATAATGGTTCGAACGTGTGCTTGCAACACTGACTCGAAGCCGACTGATCGCACGCGGCTGCCGCCTGCCGCGCTACCGTCCGTTATGACAATCACGTGTCGCGCGGCTGTCGCGCTGCTCTTTTTAGTATGCAAGTCTGCCGCCTGTAAACAGCGCGACTGTCGCGCTGATACTGCCACATGAGTAGAAACCGACCAGAGGGGAAGCTACATACAAACGACTCGCGGCGAATACACCCATACATATCGCAGCGATGTTTGCGTGAGTTCTCACCGACAGGTTCACCGACGCTCCGTCGGGCTACAAACCGGTTTGCGCCGGCTCAGTCAGAGTATCCATGAAAGGGCTGTTAGTCGTGCGCATTTAATTAAACAGACCAACAATATTTCGAAATTTTATACATCAATTAATTTATAAATTTTTTTGCAAGTATTAAATAATTAGATTTAAATATTTTAATTAAAACAATTAAGAATTAAGTTATTATAAATTTATATAGGTAAATAATAAGTGTTTTGTATAAGCAAAAATGCCTAATAGTTGTACAGTATACATGAATAATTCTAGAGAAAATAAGAATATTTCTTTTTTTTTGTAACCGAGAGATCAAGTGAAGTAAGTACCTTTTTACGTATTATATACAATAAAACTAGGTAATAACATTGATAGATAAGTGAGAATGTGTTAGACAGGTACGTCGCCGAGTGATGAAGTCGGTCTCACCTACTTGAAACGTTAGTCTAACCTTGACAGTGGCGTAGATTGCAGGTTACCTACGTAATAAGGCTAAATGTGTGACTTTATCCACCCACTTTAGTATAGAGGGAGGTTGCTTTCTGGGGAAGGATATAAGCTACATTTTGTGAGTCGCGACCACAGGGGTAAATACCACTGCATTATGGTCGGAATACAATCGCCAGACATTGGTGGGGATTGGTGTTAGTGGAAGTGGTGTTGGTGTTGGTGGATAGTGTTGCTGATAGTGCCAGTAGTGGTGCAGGTGGTAGTATCGTAGGCAGTGGTAGTAGGCAGTGGACCAACAGTGGCTCCATCAACACCACCACCATTTTTTCCTTAAAATTTTCACATGCATCATGTGACAACCCTATTAGAATAGGTATACATTTTCGACGTTGTTAAGAAGCTTCCCCTCTGGTCCTTACTCTTTACTCTGTGATACTGCCGCGTCGCTTGCGGCTTAATGTGAAGGAGCTCTAAGAAGCGACTAGACTTGGGGAAAAGTTTTATGTTTAAATAGCCGTGACCGTCGTTCCGGTTACAAAAAAGTCACAATGAAAAATCATTGACTTTGTCCTATATTTTGTTTGATAACTACTTGTAATATTAGAACGACTTACAACGTGGCTTTAAATATGCATTTTAGATTTATTATTAGACATTATTTCAGTTTTTTATTACCTTACTTACCTAAGCTACGTGGCTATGTTAAAAGTACCATTCTAACAATTATCTGGGGGCACGGCAGTGCCCGCCAAGTCGAGCAAAAAAGCGGCACGGCCGAAACATTATTTTCTCGAAGCAGTTCAGGCCATTTTCGACCCCCTATAGCTTCGTTGTGGATAAAACTACAAGCCTGAATTTCAGGAACCAAGCAGGCAGTGTATAAACACGGTATTTTTCTTCAATTCAATTTCAATTTGAACGACTAGTTTAAGAATTATAACTAGTCAAAGTTTCTTAATTTTGTCACTCATTGACTGACCGATCATCAAAACTCTAAGGCACTTCTAGCAGACGTAGAAGCTTCAAATTTAGAATAGAATTAGTGTTTAGTGTATAAATCAAGGAAAACCTAAAATATTTTGTAACTTCGGTCCACTATTCTAGATACACGAACTGCATAAATTTTATATTATATTTGCAGTGAATGAATCAGTGTACCTGTATATTATGTATAATATAATGGAATCATAGATGAAGATAGGTACCTAGATATAATTATGTTCAAAGGTAACTGGTAAACTGGTCAACAGAATGAAAAAGCAAGAATGGGACATGTCTTATGAAGTTTTACTAAAATCCCGCAAAGTATTAAGTAGACTAAATTGCCCGAAAATCCGTAGTTGGTATTCAAGAAGTAGATGGTACCGGAAAGGAAAAAAGTAGGACAATCTACAAAAAGAGCCATCAAAAACATAACTTGTAAAAAAAAACAAGTTTCGCAACTCAGTTCTTCTACCGTAAAAAGTTGTTAGATCTATGTAATACCAAGTCGGTTAATTTATTCAGTCCCTACTTAAGGTGTCTCAAGTTATTACATAATCAGCTAATCTAACAACATCTTATAGTGACCATATCAATATTAAAACTCTTTTATGTTTTAAATACATATATAGATTGACTTGGCAATCGCACTAAATAATCTAATTCATTCATGCATTTTCAATTTGTCAATTGGCGTCCTCATGTATTTACCCGGCGCTCCACAGTTAATATTAACTAATAAATCCTTATCGTGTAAAAACATAAAGATGAAAAATAAATTTAATAAAACATTTACTTCTAAAACATCATCCAGTAACAAAGTCGTAAGGCAACACAGCTAAATCTTTACATTTTAACAACAAAATTAAGATTGCAAAAATTAAATTTAATTGATGTTGAGTAGAATTAACAGGGAAACCGGTAAAGACAAACCCCGTAATACACACTATCAATTAAAATTTAACAAAAAACTGACTAAATCAAACCAGGAAGGCGCAGCGGTTTTCGAGAAATATTTAACTGATTTCCTATCGTGACAACAGAATCGTTGAATGTTTGTCCAATTGTCGCAAAGTGATTACTCATAAAGAATGTTAATAGATTATAATGAGTTCTTATATTTACGAACCCTACACACTGTTTCGGGTGTTGCAAAGCACTCGACATGTCCTAAAGTAAAATAAGTAAAATTAAACGCGATAAAAGTCGTAAAAATAGTTTTATTCAATGTTAGATTTGCACAGAAAAATTTACTTGCATAAAAGAATTTTGATTTCAAAAAGTAGATATTGTAAAATATTTAAAACGTTTGATGCAAAGAAAACCGCCGATTATGGATTTCCGTTAAAAATTGTGACCTTATTAGTTAAATCTAATTTTATTTCATTTTGATATATTCAAGATCAAAGTCATAAATTGCCACAAATTATGGTCTTGAGCCACTTCATTCTTCGATTACCTGTTTCATCAGGTTGTCACTTCCTCTAAGGGAATCGCCTCATAATGTCCAACGTCTTACCGATATAAGCGGGACGATATGTGGTCAATGATCACACATCGTACCGCTGTATCTATATGCATATGTAAGAGAATTTATGATCATTGTTTATGCCCAAAATTGGTCATTTTGAACGCCATCCAATCGCCTTCGAGCTGGTGCGTCACCCGATGGTATATAGGTGAGGTAAACGCCGCCAGGTGGGGCGGCCGTGTGCGGCTTGCGGTGGCTTACACGTGGGCGAAGAGATGAGTAGCTCGCTGGCCGCGATGCGGGGAATCCGCGTATCTCGGTTATCGCGGCAGAAGTTCACGCGACCAGTAGGGTCCAGATGGTTAGATTTAGTGCGTGTTACTTCGCTACGTGGATATGTGAATTTTGCAATATTTAACTTGCTCGGGTGATGCGGAATTTCGCACGCGCGCGCCGTGTTGATATACGGTCTAGGATTCGAACCACGCATTCCTTGTTCGAGAGCGTCTCCCGGTTGATTGTCTGGAAATCATTATAATTGTGCCGTCGCGTTAAGTGCCCTTTTTTGTGTGTTGGCTGGTTTGTTAGTTTTACGTGTCAACGAGGCGTATTTTGAATTCTTATCGCGGCGTGGTGTTTTGGTGTCGAACGAAGGGACTTAGTTGTGTTTGACGCTGAACCGTATGACTCATTAAGAGATCGCGTTAGTTCCCTATTTATAATTTCGTGATAAGTGAATCCGGGACATTGAATGTCGAATTTTGAACTACTGTCCGTACTGTGTCGGGTATCACGTGTTCGATTCTACGATGAATGTGGAATTAGGCGAGTTTAAGTTAGTTAAATGTACAATGAAGCTAATAGACTGAAATAGTGACAATGAAGAAAGAAATGGTCCAGCGGGGAAGACTGCTGGAGTGATGCAGCATTGTGGGGCAGCCTGGAAATCGGCCGCTGCCAGTCACCTCAGCTGGTCCAGGTCTCAGACACCTACACCTCACTAAACACTACTTTCCATGCACCTTATACCCACTTACGGCCTGACCGAGCCTTGGGGCGATCTTAGAGTCGGGAACAGGTACGTACTATATTTCCCTAGCATTCTCTCATATAGTTTAGTATGATAGAACATTCGTCCATGTGGCCATTTGGGCCCGACCCGTGTATGCCCGTCGAGCAGGCTGCTATGGGCCCCAGCCAGGGCGACCTTTGCAAGGGCAGCTGCGGGCCGTAACAATCATTCATCATGAATTCTCTTACATAGTTACAATATTCCAAGAAAATTTAGTCTGCATACCACAATTACAAAAAAAAACTCACCGGGTTGTGGTTCGCTGAGATCAGAAGTTACAAAATTAGCTGGAAACAGGCCCTCGCCGCGATCATTGTAGCCTTTCCACCAGTTAGGGTCACTCGAATCCGTCACGTGAACTGCATCAAGCAAATAGTTATCACGACGGCCTTACAAATACATGAGAAAATGTATGTGTGAACAGTTTACGGACCGATTTCACCCGCGAGGAAAGTGAGTTCGTTGTCCTCGGCCGCCTCGAAGTCGTAAAGGGCGCGCACTTTGCGGGGAGCCGGCGCGTCGGCCGTGTCGACACGCGGGTATAGGGTGCTGGACGCAGCGGTGCCAACAGGAGGGCCCGCCTCGCGGAGAGACAGCGCGATGGCGCGCGCCAGCTCGTCTTGCTCACGCTGCGCGGCGGCGGCGGTGGCGGTGGTGGCAGCGGTGGCGGCGGTGGCAGCGGTGGCGCCGGCGGGCCCGGGCGGCGCGCGCTCGCCCGCCTCGGCCGCCAGCTTGGCGTGCAGCGAGGGGATGAGGTCGAGCTGCGGGTCGTCGCGGAACTCGCCGTCGGCCCACTTGCGCAGCAGCGCGCGCAGGCGCTGCGCCACGGGCGGCTGCGCGCGCGCCAGCAGGCGGCGGAACTCCAGCTCGAAGTCGCGCGACGCCACCTCGAGCAGGAAGGCGCGGCCGCAGTTGGCCACGCAGGCGTCCAGCAGCGTGGCGGCGTGCACCTGCACGTGCGGGTCGGCGTGCGCCAGGCGCCGCAGCACGGCGCGCAGGCAGTCGCGCGCGCTCGCGGCCGACGCGCCCGCGCGGTCGCAGATCTCCATGATCAGGCCCCATTCTTCGCTCGTGTTGTTCTCGCTCGTCGCCCGCTCTGCAACCGCATTCGCATTCGTTTCTTTATATACAATAAGGCTAACAAACGAGCACACAATCCACTTATAGGTGGACTATAGCTGCAGATTTATTATAGTTGTAGCACGAATGGGTCAGCTCTACTGGGAAAAAACCACGCTCTCAGAGAATACAGCGTAAAATAGCAGATTAATGCTACTTTTTCTTTCTTTTTTTTCTTAAAAAAAAAACGTTACCCTCACACTAGGATTTTCTCCTGTATCATGGAGGCAATTTACAAACGTAAATTGCACGAGGATAAACATCCAGACCTGGAACAATTATTTGTAGGCCATACAAATACTTGTTCTGTGCGGGATTCGAACCCGCGGCCCCCAGCGCAACAATTCATTGCTAAGTCACTGCGCCACGGAGCCGTCATCACTACTACATTTCATATGGTGTGTAGAGAACCGAAAACCCATTTTACTGGATAGAAGACATTCGTTCTTAGTCCTCAGGGGTGATAATGCATCTGCATTTGATTCTTAATCGAGGATAAATAGGAAGATCGTAACTGAAGGACTTATTTTCAAATCAGCCTTATAGGAAGTAATATTCAAAAAAGATTAAAAAAAACTTTTCGATTTTGATAATAATACCCTATCTATCCCACAAATAAAAAAGTAAAGCTAATAGTAGTAATGCATATTTTGTTTTCTTCATAAAATGTTTATTATCAATAGTTTACAATAACATTACAAAATGATTAATGCAGCTAGTTTTTGGTCATTTTCTATGAAGTTGTAACAAAATCTTTAGTAATCCAAGTGCATTTTATTAGTTGGTCAACTATTACTCATTAACTTGCCACTGCATCCAACTTCATACAAAGAAAGCTACAGATATATTATCAAGTCTGAGGACTAAAATGGAATGGCACGCACCTCCAGCCTGCAAGTATGCTGGCTCTCTATACCTTTCAGATGAGAACTAAAGAATGCAAACACTGCTGATAAAGTACGAGGGTAGTATTAAGAGTTCAATGCCTAATAACCAGTCCTACACGATTTTAAAATCCTTAAAAAATTTAAAGTTGTTGTAAAACATGTGTACATAAAGTAAATCTTTATTATACATATCATATAAACCATGTAGTGGCAGTGTAAGAATATCCACTAGCACATATCGTGGAATGGATGTCGTAAGAGACAACAGAGGGAAACTAAAACAGAAGATGTGCAGCAGAATCAACCTGATAATAACTCAACATAATGAAAAACAACAGCTGCTAACCCACCTACCATGGCAATTATGGCAAAATCCTCCCCTATGAGGCAATCTATACGAGAGATCTATGTTCAGCAGTAAACTTCTATAGGCTTTAATTGGATGGATGGATATTATATATATATATATATTTGTTAGAATATGGTACATTTAAGTTGTTATAAAATAATTCAGATCCTAAATATTCTGCAGTTTCCTGCTTACAAATATTTTCAGACAGATTATGTTAGAATATAATAGAAAACTAAGACATTAATTATTATAGAATATATATATATATATATATATATATATATATATATATATATATATATATATATATGTATATGTATAACCATACACATTACACATATAGCACAGAGATACAGAAGTGTGCAAAAGCATAGGTGCTCTCACTGATGAACAGAAAGAGAAACATATTAAATTGAGGTGATGAATCATTCAAAATCTAGACTTTAAATTTTGAATGATTCATCACCTATATCTATTGGATATCTATATGTCTACTGGAAATACAACAAACCCACGAAGTAATGCTTTTAAAATGGTTAAACATCAGATGGATACAAGTGAGGAAAGATATTCCCGATTCGTTTTCCTTCAAATTCAACTTTACAAAACAAAAATTTAAGGAGGTAGAATTAGCAGAAATATAACTCAGTGGGACTATTCCCCTACTATGAATAAAAGTCTATATTTAAAACCATTTTCATTAAATCTAGTTAAAAATAAAGTTTTGATGGCTACATGTAAGGATGGAACTATTCCAAAGAATTACAACAGCTATCTATTATAAAAATTTGCCTGTTTTAGAAAACGATAATTTGGAGACAGGAGCTAATAATGACAACAAAGAGTTAACCCTTGATGCAACAAGAGCATCTTATTACGGTAATGACTTAGAAAAAAAAATTATTATTTATAGTGTATTATTAAGTACATAAGAATATGTACTTAATAATACACTATAAATAATAATTTTTTTAATGAGGCATGCCAAGATTGTTTGTTAACTGAATAAAAGGAAGGAAGGCAAACTTAAGTATCCTTTAGATCACTTGTGCAATATTTTCTATGCTCTTATGTTTTGGAAACTATTATTTTGTTTTATAATGTTTTAGATTATTTATTACACTAGGTTTTTATGACTGTAAGTTTCTTTAAAAGTTTTATTTTTTATGAAAATCTCATGTGTCTCATCTCAAATATGATCTCAAAACATTTTTGTTTCATTTCAAATAACTATGTTCATTTAAATTATGAATAAAATTTTATCTTTACAAGTTTCCTTTAAGATTTTGGTTTTATTTCGTTTCTTGTAATGTCTTATGTTAAATTTTAGATGTATTGTGTTTCATGTCATTTAAAAAATGAATAAATCTGAATATTATTAAATATGCTTTAAATTTAGATATGCTTATTTTTGGTTTTCATTTTTTTTCTTATGGAAAACATTGTGTTATTTCTACCATTTGTTGTTGGTGGTTGGTCTATACTTTTACTTTGAAACCAAACACCTATCAATATTAATGTTAAGCCAAACAGGCATACAATTTTTTAAAATCAAGGAAATAATGTTTCAAAATTAACAGGTAACAGGTCTTATTCCTAAACTGCAATATTTAAAATCACCAACTAGTTTCAAATTACGGTTGGTACAATGAATTTAAGAAAAAATGTTGCATGTCCATAAATTCCAAGCATTTTCAGGGGAATTTTGAGGGTGTTTTACTATTTCGCCGTCATGCCAAATAGATGTAAGGACCAAAAACTAGTGTTTAGAGGAAATACTTTAAAATATTTTTAGTTTCTGGTGTAAATGTATGTTTAATAAAAAAGTTATTTACAGTTATGACATATGCATATTTTTGACAGATTGCATCTACCACAGTGGTTTTTGCACAAGTCACACACTTTATTACTTTCATTTTACAATGAGTTTGATAGCAAATATGCCTCTTCCTCAACTCAGCTGCTTGCATTTCTGAGGCAATAAAACTTTGCAGTTAGGTTTCACGAGTGGGTTCTTTTAAAATGTTACCCAGTTCAACCTCCAATTGCAGAATAAATTGTCTTCTTCATATTTTCTTGTTTTTTATTTCTTGGTACACCAAGGAGGCATTTATTGCAGATAAATATAAAATATTATAAAACACTTGTACCGGCCATGTTATGGAATATGCTTTTGTGCTGTGTCTTCTCCATTTGATCTACCACGTCAACACCATATTTAGTGACATCCTTTTATTTTGAGAGGTATCTCCATAAAATGATGTTTGAACGTCACATACTCCCTGTCGCCGAGAAGATCTTCCCCTTGTTTGTTGTTGAATATTAGTCAATGGTATGTTGCTGTCTGAACTAACTGTCACTAGAACTTGACTCAGGAGATGCAGGAATATACAAATTGCTATCTTCAATTTCTGGTGGTAATGAGACACCTTCATCTTCACTATTCGATTGATCTTGATTGCAATAATGGCATTATTTCTGCATCACTGATACGCTGAGACATTTTCACGAAATATCAACCAAAATAATGAAATTGACTCAATGAGAAGATGTAGAGTAATGATTGTATAAATAAAAATGTTTAGGTATGTAAAACAAGACCAGGCAATAAAATTAAAGTAAATGTAATTATCCTACTCTCAACAGCAATGCATTCATCTATTGAATAGGTCAAATGACCCTAGCATCATTGTATGTGAATGTTATTTTTATTCATATTTGTATAAACATATTACAATGTAATTACTTTTAATTATAAAACAATCCTAATTCATTAAAATTCACAAAGTACAAAACTGTATAAACAAACAGTGACAAAATAATCAGCAGTGCATGTTCAAATACGGGTCAAAAGACCCTTGCCACCTTGATAGTGTTAATGTAGTTGTGGTAATAACCGAATGTGTAGTGCCGTTTTTAAAGAAATGTTAATAAGTAGCAACTATACATTGCTCATATTTTTTTTATCTAAACCTTAATTTGTTTACATCATCTCATAGTTGCTATTCTTAGCACAACTTTGTAGTGACTTACCAATTTTATATGCTTTCTGCTGTGAAGTTGAAATACACTTAAGTTCAATGAGATTTATTATTGTAAAAGAAAACCTGCAAATTAATGCACCTTACGCAAACGAATACCCTTTTTGTATTTTCGTGAGACATTTTATTTTAAATAGATCGTTAATCATTCCTTTGAGATCATATTTACTAATCAAGTTTAATAAAAAAGACAAAGAAACGGCAATCAACAAAGACAATACGAACGATAACATATCATTAATTGGTACCTACCAACATCTTGGTCAAAAGGAGAAGAAGTAGTAAATATGCCCATGTTGGCTGATTACATTCGCAGGATCAACAATATCTATATAAAACAAAGCCGCGTCTCCGCGTTGTAGTTATTTCTAACTGGATAGACACCATTAATTAGAATTTATATGCACTTTTTACACTTAATTTACAATTGTATTCAATTTAATGCTCGCATCGTATTTGTCTAATGTCTTTTTTATCTTACGTGACATTGCAATTGCATTGACATTGACATTTGACATTTCTTTCTTCTTCTGTTTTTCTTTAGTAACAAACTCGTACGGTTGTTTTTTTGCCACTGTCAAAATATAGGAAATAATATTTTAAATAATTTGTGGAAAAATATCCCTACATATTGTCAAGTTTTTGGAAGATTTTAACGACTGCCAAAGCCAGCGGACAGTCAATGACGAAAGTATTTTAAATTCTCAAGGTGCCTAAGAAAAAAATTGACGTAGAAATCGTTTCAAAATCCACGTGGAACCATTATGTAAACGATGATACAGTAGCAAGAATCCGCCGGCGCCGGCCATTAAATTATCGCCAAAACTCGTTCCGATCAGCTTTGCACATAAACTTAGACTACTTAAGCATATACGTTACTATATGCAAACACCCCCCCCCCCCCCCCCCCCGTCACTACCCCAGTCTACAAATTTTGAGTGTATATATATATATATATATATATATATATATATATATTTTACGTGTTAGAGCCATGCTGCAGTTATATTAATAGTATAGTTGTAGCACGAATGTGTCGGCTCGACCACAGGAGCACACTCTCACAGAATACCAGCGTAAAATAGCAGCTTAATGCTGCTGTGTTTCGTATGGTGAGTGTAGAGAACCGGAGACCCTTTTTACTGGAAAACGGCTGACAACGCATCTGCATTTTAATTCGCAAATGAGTGAGATGAGATGTTTATGGGCCACAGCATCCACATACCATCAGGTGGACTGTATGCTTGTTTAAACTGCACCCTGTGCATATCATTATTTTATGCATTTTTAACGATGGTGCAATAATATTCAAGCAAGGTGAAGTTTTTTTCTATTGTGAAAAGTACCCAATTCTAATTATTTGAAGTAATATCGACGTTATAAGGTGAGTGATATTTAACAATTTTTTATTTCTAAACTACATGGGAGCAGTTTATATAATTAATATTTTAAGATGTGCTATTTAAAATACGTCTGCTAGTATTTATATATATACTCTAAACTCATAGGCTGGGTTAGGAGGGGTATCCAAATCTGCTTTTCTAAATCACAAAGAAATGAAAATTACAGCAAGTGTCGCCAGGTATGAGAGGCGAAAGTAATCAATCGACTTCGGGTGAAAAATTATTACATCATAATATTTTTTTTTTCTCTTTATTTGGGATAACAAACAATCGTACAATATAATCACATTATTAAACACAATATTATATTTAAGCTTAATAATCATACAATCAACACCGTTATCCACATATTACTATTGGGTCAGTGTACTAAACAATTAAAATTAAATTTTTAATGTTTTATTAAAACGACCCGTTCACTAGTAGATACAGAGAAAAACAAACTGATATACATATATATATATATGTGAATGTACATGCGCACGCATATACATATACATAGTTAATACATAAATGTAAATAATTAAATTAAACATAAATAAACAATTACATTAAATTGCATCTGATACAGATAGAAACTCATACACAGCTTTTTTAAATTTGGAAGAAGTTAATTCAAAGATATCTATTTCATTAAATTTCTTGTTGTATTGTTCCATTATACGATTTAAAGGTGCACGCGCACCGGCATTTGTTTTACTTGGTTTAGGAAAGAAAATTTGATGTGATTGAAGCTCACGTATACGCTTATTAAATTTCTTTGCTAGTAAAATTACATAGATAATTAGAAAACTCAACTTTTAATAAAAAGTAAAAGTCGACTTCAATTTACTAAGGTGATTCTTTACATTTCCTCGTAATAGCCGCTGAAGTCAATGCTAACATAATATATAGAAGACTTAAATCCCCGTTTTCAGAAGCTGGATAATATGTGAAAATCGTTTTATTCCAAAGAGATTTAAATATATAGGTATACTATAGAGCGAACATAGAGAACGTTTTCATAGAAAAACTTTGAGCTCGCGCGTGTGTGACGCCCTCTATCAAAACATAGCATAACTACGCAGAATATTTATTAGGAAAACATTTCAGCTATTCTCCAGTAGGTGTCGCTACTAAATGTAGAGTAAAAACCCGTTTTAGGAATGTTACCGTTTCGACATCAAAGTATCGATAATGTTGTTGAAGGTCACTAAGTTTGCAATGCTTTACTATATAATAATAGGGAATATGCATGCTTTTTTATTGTATATATCTATTTACTATGACTCCAATCACACTAAAAAAAATTATTTTAACGTTTTAAGTTATGAACCAATTCAAACAGCAGTCACATTGGTAGCATCTTGGATGATGCCACTAGGTCTATTAGACGCTATAATAATAGCATATGATTGGTCGGTCGGCGTCGAAGGCACATCGCAAAACGTCAAATCCAATAATAAAGCGCCTCCATGTTTTTCAAATTCGTTTCTTTTACAAAAATACACATTAAATCTAACATATTTTAGGAAAGCATTGAACTTAAAGGTCGTTACAAAATAAATTATTATACAAAATTCACAAGTTTGCGCGGTTACCGTTAAAAAGAACACCTTTGTCGTATCTCTTCAATTTCAGAGCACTTCTTTTGTTACCGTAGCCGTAGTCATTCGATACGTCGACGCTGAAGATTCCGCATCTTCGGCGTCGACATATCGAATGACTTGCAGTAGCATGGTCACTTGGAAGAGAAAGCTAAATTGGCTTCTATAAAGTTAGGCGTACTCAGTAGAGCGGGACACTACCGTGAACAAAAAAGCGACCGTTTGCAACTTTACAATTACAGGTTCGGCCTCACATGGAATACTTTTCTCAGCTCTGGACTGGGGCTCGCCAGTGCGAGCTCCTTCCACTTGACTGTAGAGTAGAGCAGCTCGAATCGCCGACGACCGAGTTTTCTTTGATTGGCTCGATTTTCTATCGTATTTAACACGGGGAGTGCTCTGAGGAATTGTTCGGATTAATTCCAGCCACCAACTTTCACCACCTTACTTTGTGATAAAACTTACCTTACATTCACATCATTTGGATGCTTGGCGGTCCACTACCGTGCGATTAATTGGTTTTCTTATGAATCGTTTAACAACGGCAATTTTTATAGACCGATACGACTTAGGGACCTTCAAGAAACGAGCTTACTCCTTTTTAAAAGGCCGTCAACGCATCTGCAATTCTCCTGGTGTTGAAGAATTATATTAAAATTAAAAAAAGGCTATCTTGTTGAATGGTTGTACATAGCACATAGATGTTTCATGTTAAAACCAACGACCGTGTGCCCTGACTCAGGCCCAGCCGATTTCTTTATTATTACCGGTACACTATCGTTTACTGTTTTACCTCCTTAAATATTGTAGATGATTAAAGCGTCTCCCACACAGAAGCGGCTTGCGAAGGCGGCCAGTTGTATTCGCTTGCAATGTAAGTGAGTCTGCAAACCCGTGTGGCCATGGCGCGATCTGCGAGCGGCTGGCCGTGGCCGCATGCCCCGCCCCCTCCGCCTGTTAGCAAACGTGCGGCTTCATCAGTAGCCAGTGGCCGCAGCGCGGTCAGCTGCAAATTTTTACAACAGGCCGCGTTTACCACGTGAAAATGTGCTAAATTGAGAGATTTTAATAGAAATAGTGCAAAATTATCCAGTACTTTATGATAATTCGCATCATGATTACAAAAGCATTAGGATTAAAAACAAAATATATGATAATATTGCTGAATATAATAGGTCTTCGTCATGGTTAGTCATATTACTGACGTCCAATCGTAGCACAGACATCTCAGCGAATGGCGTTTCAGGCCGCCGCTGCGACCGCGGTGGTGTGTAGTTGCAGCGGCTGGAGCTGCGGCTCGCGGTTAGCCGCCACCGCAAGCCGCTTGTGTGTGGGAGACGCTTTAATCGGCATCCGGTATAATATTTTTTATCGATAACAATAATCGATAAACGTTGTCAATTACTAACTCTTTGGTAAATAAATTATGACGTTACTGGATAACAGAGGGCGCTTATTACAATAATGATAATTTTTCTAGAACAGTACCAGAAATAATAAAATTTAAAAATTAGTGGGTAAATATACATTTTTCTTGCGATAATAAACCCAAATCACATTCAGTTTTTGCTCAATGCACAATCGGGCATATTTGTATATATACATTATTCTTGCGATAATAAATAGAAATGACATTCAGTTTTTGCTCAATGCACAATCGGGCATATTTTCTATAAAAATATTTTTAAACTTAGGAAACGAATGCGTCTTGAACTTTTGACGATGTGACTAAGACTAAATGACACAAACACAAATCCGAAATATATCCTACTAGCTGTGCCCCGCGGTTTCACCCGCGTCATCACGTGTCGGAGGTGCGCGACACGACCTAGTTCAAGCATTTTATAATTGCAATTAAATATTTTATTTGATAGCAATAGATGGAAAAATTGGCATAATTAATGGAGTACTTTTATCTGTCGGCATGTTATGTATGATGTAGAGCGAAGTCTTATCCACTTTCCCTCCCCCTCCCGGTTGAGCAGTTCTCGCAGTTCTCACCGGGCGGCTAGGGTTTATGTGTCGTTCACGCGCCCAACTATTGAATTATTTTAATTTTACATTATCTCTTAAACTATACGTCCAAATAAAATGGTATAAACAACAAAGTTTATCATCATAAAATTGTTTTGATGATGAAGTAACTTTCGTTCGTAAGGATAAATAGGCCATGCCTAATAATAACGCTCATAAATCACTTTTATATTTTAAATATTTGTTGTCACAAAATACCTAATTATGGCTTATGTATAAGAAGTAGACATATTGTATCGCGGACTTTTTTTTAGACGGAGTAAAGGTCTATATTTTTCTAAAACATTGTATTTACGTATCCCTAACGATAACACCAGAGTACGCAGATAAATCATTTCAGGAGTGCTTTTTCTACTGACTTGCTTAACAAATATCCATATTTAAGGCTAGCTGAGTGATATAGCTTAATTCTAGATAGCCTATACTATTTCACATGAATCTG